GGTACAGGTCTTTTGGTCAAGATATTTTAATTACCTACCTTTCTTTTAGTTGCATACGATTATGATATTAAATAGGGTAAACCGTATAGCTATTGCCCACTTAAAGATTTCAAACACATTAAGATGAAAAATTAAAGAAAGTATTTTAATTATCGACCATTTATGACTTTTTTCTTCTAACTCAATAAACTGTTAAACAGAATATTAACAGTTTTTAGTTAAAACTTACGTAACTAAGAAAATATTGAAATATATTTAAAATCCGCCAAAAAGTACAGTCATTGCCCATTACTTACACTAATTGCCCACATCAAAGCACAGTAATTGCCCAGTATCTTAAAACAAAATAATCAATTTTAAAATGACAAAATAGGCTTTAAATAAACAAAACAAAACATTAAACTTAAATTCTAGTAGTACAGTCTTCAAAATTTCAAAATAAATTGCGTTTGGCCTTATTAACATATTATCAAAATATATTTCTTGAGCTGATGTTGATGAGTCAGAATTGGTAGAGACAGAATCATCTACTTCAAAACATAGATAACGCAAAATATTCGAATTTTATATGTAAATTTTATATGTATTTATTTTTTTATCTTCTTTGATATGAGTTCAAGTGTTTGCTCAGAATGTTCAATTAGCTGTTGGTTATTCTTCCCTAAAGTTGTATCTCTTTCCTTACAATTAACATTTTCACTAGTAGATTTAACGTAGGATTATCATTTTTTGTATTTGCGTTTGAATTTTTATCAATTTTTTTAAGCCAAACCATATTTTTCAGCAATTTATCTTGTAGATAAATTGTTGGATACATACATCTTGTACAGCTTTGATCGCTTTTTGCAAATTTTCTATGCTATATTGAACTTTGGGAGTCTTTGGCATACTGAAAATGAAACATTAAAAGCCATTTCAATATTTATGCCTGTAAATTGCAAAACAAGTCTAGCAATGAGCAACTTAATCACTGCTACTGCGTGGTGGCAACACTCTAATAATAATTGCCCTGGGCAATAACTATACATTACATATGGCAATAACTGAAATGATGGTGGGCAATAACTAAAAATATACAGATTTACGTGCAGTGATTACCCACCGTTAAAATGACCGTTAGAAATCAAATTTTATCAGTTATTTTCATTGATAATGGAGAAAACACTTATAATTTCATCATGACTATATACCATTAGTTGAATAATAAATAACTTGCTAAAAAAAATTAACCTCTAAGCAAGTAATTCCTTAGTAAAATTGTTAAAGTCTTTACCTGTTTGTGTAACATTTTCACCCGTCTTGACAAAATCCGCCATAACTGTTTTTTTTTAGTGTTTCCTATTGTAAATTTTAAATCTACTGTACATTGATCTCGGAGCCATCTACTTAGTAAATTCAAATCTAACTAGAGTGATTCAAAGTCAGCACCTGACAATATTTTTCTTAAAGCGGGCAATCACTACCAGTGGGCAATCACTCTCTGGTTTACCCTAATTAGTATTGAAAAAACACGGAAAAAAACAAAAAACCCGACCGCATAATAAAAACATGGTAATTAAGCATTATTTTTGTTAATTTACATTGTAGCTATTCAAAAGCCGAACTCTAGTAGGTATTAAAATAATTACGTAGCATCATTAAAATAACAATACATTTTATTTAAAATAATTTACAATATTAAAATTGTAGTTTAGTGGTAATATACCTACATACTTAGGTACTTTGGAGGTTACTTATTATTTTATCATACCATAAAGATTACATTACAAATTCCTTACATCCTAATTCCAGAATATTTTCTCTCTGCAATCAATGCGTAAGCTACCATCAGGGTTCCTGAATGTTAAAGACACACCAACAGCCCGCGGCATGGCTGAGTTTCCATCTGGATAGAAAACCACCATCACCATGTCCACATACCCGCCAGTTCTTCTGCACCAGCTCTTCATAGCATTCTCCGTGTCTGACCATTCGTCGCAGTTCCAATTCGAAGATCTTGGAACGAAATTGTAATCAGAATAAGGACCGCCAAGATCGCAGCCAACTAAGTAATCAATATCGTAATTCCCAGGGATCAAACTTTGGTATTTACTGCTGACTTGATTTGGAACTGATTGGTAATTGACAACGTTCTGCGTAGTTTCGTTCGTGATCCGCGCTCGGATTACTGCTGGGACTGACTGGCCTTGAAACTGGACTGTAGAGTAACTGCTGACCGGCTTCATGCAGTCCGTAGCTCGATGATGCGACTCGAACTCACAAGCAATACTCTCCACAAAATTATCTCTGCAAGCTGATGATGTTGATCTCACTGATAAGCACGGGTATTCGTTTTTGATGAAGTCATCACAGCTCTGCTTGTACATTCCTCCAACGTTGTAATCTGATGGGAGAATTGGAACTTGAGGCTTAGGGGCATCTGCAGGTGGCGCACAAAACTCCCAATGACGTCTGCCATTGTGCTTCAAATACCAGCACCAGTAGAACCTTTTGTTCCCTTTCTCGCATGTAGAGACGCATTCGCTTCCATACCGGGTCATGGCTACAGCATCTTCTGGTGACTTCCTCACGTAAGAACTGCAGTAGTCCCAGTGCATGTCGTAGGTTGTGATGCACCATTCTCTGCGATATCCAAAGAAGCCACAGTTCGTCAAGCAATGTGTCGCGAAAGGGTGTCGTTTTTGAGTAGTGAAGAATTTGGGAGCTGGTCCATAGGTTTTGCAGCTGGATATTATTCCAAACCAGTTGATAACGCACTGCCCGTTGACACAGCCGGTCAGGCAAAGGCTTCCATCTGGAGTTTTAGCTATCTCGGTGTACTCTGTGACCGTGAATCTTCTTGCAAACACTATTTGCAGTAACGCGAGCAAAATGATTGGCACGAACATGATGCTGTCTGGTCAAGTACTGAACTTTGAGTGATAAAATGTTTACCGTCCTTTATTTTATATATTTGTTAGCAAGTTTCCCCACGCTGATAATTATTTAATTAATAAATGCAATAATAATCATGTTTATTTTAAACATGTTGGGATTTTGCGATTGTAGTATCGCCCCAGACCTTTGGCATGAAGATAGAAATTCCGGAAGATAAGTATGGCATCACTGGTATTTTCATTTAAGTCAAGTAGGTATGTCAAATTCTGGTCAAAATAGACTTTTAAATTAATTCAGTGGTGTACCTAGAAAGATCACGCAAAAAAGAAAAAATGGATAATAGCAGTTCCTGTTCCAGGCCAGGTGAAGGTTAATTAAGTAATTTGTACTGAAAAAATTTCTAATCGTTCCGTTAGCTCCTCATGTAAGCTAAATTATGTTTGTGTTACGAGTGGGCTCACCACAACAGTCGAGCGGCGGCGGGGTTCGAACCCGCGTTCCTCGGATATCGAGTCGGCCAGTCCGACCCCTTCACCGTTCGGCTATCGTGGTTCCAATGTACTAGAGGCTTTCAGTTAATAAAACATTTTTCTCATCAAGAAAATTTTCGTTTATTTTCATATTTATCACAAATTTGCAGCCCTATCTGACCACTACGTATACGTTATCTTATACATATTTAATACTAATACAAAACATAATACAGAGCATCTAAGTTATACAAATATAATGACTAGATTCTTTGGTTTTTGTGCTGAACATCACAATATTAGGTACTTTAAATATTTCTCAATGAAATTGTCGTGTCCTCGTGTCAAAAAAAAGATTTTATATTACTAAACTAATTTACAATTAAAGAAAATATTTTGTAAAGAATACATTTTAACTCAATAGCTTCTTTTTTCAGGACATTTTAATTAAAAAACAATGTTTAGTGCAAGATAATGGCACAATATTCGTAATTCAAGCAATAATGACACAATATTCATAATTTTTGCGCGTTTTCAAGAAAATGTATCGACATAATTTTATTGGCAGCTGCAATGTTGTATCGACTTTTTCAAACAAATAAAAAACATTATCCATTTCAATCTTTCAAATCTTTACTAAGATATAATTAACATTATTTTCAGAAGCCAATGCATAAAAAAATGTGCAGTTTTATGTTGAATCTTATCTAAATTAATTTTTTATTTACAAACAATTACTCTTTGAGCAATCGATATGTACATTATACATCATAGTTTTTACATTTTAATCTTTTTTCAATTTGTAGCTTGAAACAACGCAATAATATTCATAATATAGTGGCAATATAATATGGCACAGTCTCAAGAGCTAAGTACAATATTTTTTTACTGTTATTTATTTTACTGTGGTACGGTACAAATTGACACATTACCTTGAACAAAATAAAATATTGTCGCATACGAAATCACGCAAAACGTAAACGAATTGGTATGCTAAATACATCTAGTAAACTCAAGTGAGAATAAGAAATGTTCATAAAAGAAACAAAAATAATATTGAAAGTACACATTGTTATTTAATTATGAAAGATTATTAGGCAATATTAAAATCTTACTTGCGACTTAATGTAATAATGTAAAATAATATTTATAAAAAACAAAAACTTAATTAACAACAATAGAAATAGCTTTGATGATAAATTGTTTAATTGAAAGATTATTTAAATACTACCTAAATGGAATGCATAAGAAGTTAAATTAAATTATACAAATAGTACCTAGGTTCGTCGTATCACAAACAATATTTTAATGAAATAAAGATGAAAGCTGTATTTGAATCATACATTTTTGAGATAGGTTGTAATAGAAAAAGTGGTTTAGCTGGTAACAATTTAACAGCGCCCATAAACAAAATAAATTTTGAAATTAGTCAATTCATAACCAAAACAGTAACTTTCATGACATAATTAGTATCGCTTTTGATAGACTAAAGCTGTATAAAAGCCTCGTAAAGTGTAATTTTGCGTTAAAACATAATTTTCAATTGTTATAAAAGCCACTGCCAGCTTTATTTCTTGAGCTCTCTGGTGCATCAAGTAGTATGATACATCAAGGAAGATAAGCGTAAAAACTGAATCTATTTAGGTACTTATAGACAGATATACTTTTTGTTGTCATTTTCTATTACTGTAATAACAAACAAGTAATTAAGACAGAAAAACAACAAATGCTCCAAAGAACAATTACAACTTCGCCCGTTATTTGCATTCGAAACATCAATTCGGAGATAACAGAATCCCACAGATTCCTGTAACAACAAAACTTTTAATGCTTATTCCTCTTACATTTGCGTATTGTCAACCTCCAAAACGCGAGCCGAAAATCCGGGGAGTAAAACGCGTAAATGAACGGATTTATAGCAGAATTGAACCATCCTAACCAAGTCAGGATGTACATCAATACAGGGTTGACGTAGTTAGAAGGAATGAAAGGGGTAAGTATGTAGTAAACGAAGAATGGTAACCAGCAAGCGACAAAGCCACCGACAACTAGGCTTAACGTTTGAGCTGTTTTCGTCTCGCGTCTTAGAGAAGAGACTCTATTATTATCGACGTGGTCTTTCATAGAATGGGTCCTGTGTCTCTGAGTGTTCTTATACTTAAAGTTGGCTTTGAAGGTGACCTCGTTGTAGAAGCGGGACTCTTTCTCCTTGCACTTGTTGAATTTGGACTGGCGATTCTTTTTTTCAGCGCGGAAGCAGCAAGGGCATTTGTGGTCACCTTGAGAGGAACAGTCACTCTGCTGGTTCGACGTCTTCGAAGTCTGTTTTGAGGCACTCTGGCGAAGGGACAGCTTGTCAGACCCAGAGTCCGACTCAGTGCGGATACACGATAGCTTCCCTCTCTGCAACAAAAAGTTTTGGTTCAGTCTTGGAAAATTTCAACAGCAAACTGTTATCTTTGAAACTAACGTGGATAAAGTTGAAGTAAATATTGCGGGGAGTTTTGTTGTTTTTGGGTAAGTAAATATCTTAAGGGTAGATTCCGAAGATTTTGGAAAGCAAGAAAAGACACTTTTTAAAATTTAGATTAAATATTGCAGCTGTCTCATCTTTTTAAATTATAGATATAATTTGGCAACTCCTGCTTAGTCAAGGAGTGATAATTAGTAAGGAAGTGTAGCTTATAAGTATGGTCTGATTGCCATTATGCAAATCAAAACAAAACCCTATTCCCACATCTTGAACCATAACACCACTGACTTCGCTGCAATCCACACCATCAAAGATAAGTATGAAAGTCCAAACATTTTTATTGGTCTCTCGTTTTTTTTTCAACAAGAATTCAATTAACTTTAGAGGATCTGATACGAACCCAACCAGTCGTAAAGTTCAGTTGACGCAGAACAGAACTTGTGGACGTAGCGAAAACATTTTTGCTCGGCCGAGTGTAAAATTGCTGTTAAAAAATACTAGCACCGAATCCGCTTATGATGTGTCAAAGCTTGGGAAGGAACAGACAGGTTATGGAAAAATAAGGATAATGTCAATTCTACGTTATTGATGTAAATTAAAGGGTAACGTATTTCTTTAAAGGATTTTTATTTTTTATTTAAAGACTATTGCAAACACATAAGGTGATCCGTACAAATTTGAGTAGGGTGTGTTAAATAGGATAGCCTCTATACCCCTCTTCTCTTTTAAGGGCAAAGGCATTATTTTTATTACTATAAAACTTTATTGCACAATAAAATAGTCTAATAATTTTTCTTTAAGGTAGGAAGGAGAGGTGGGATTAGAGAGAACGGCGAAAAGAACGCCAAGAAGTCTAGAGTTCCTACGCTGACGAATGGGAAGGCAATTGAGTGGCATTAGGCACATTATGTAAAGTTTATGTCGTTTTAACAATGTTCCATTCACTATTTTCTTTTTTATCACTAACTAGCGGCCGCCCGCGACTTCACACGCGTTGATCCAATTTTACCAACTTAGGGTTTGAATTTTGCAAAATCCTGTCTTAGTGAGAACCTACGTTCTATAAGCAACCTCCATGCAAAATTTGAGACTCCTAACACTTGTAGTTTCGGAGATTTCATGATTAGTGAGCGAGTCGGTGACCTTTCGTTTTTAAATATATTATTATAGATTTTTATGTATCTATATTTTACTATAATTTTCTTGTACTTATTGATTAAATCTCTCATTGTGCTGATTCAGCTGATCTCATTAGGCTATGAGTAACGTGCGATTTCACCATTTCCGCCAAATTAGCTGAGAATGTCTGTAAACCGTACAAAAGAGAAAAGGGTAGCGCAGTAGGCTTAGTTAAAGTTATATGAGACAATCCATGTATATTTTTCTCAAGTGAATAAAATAACCCGTAATCACAAACGATGCTTGCTGAAGTGAAGCAGCAAATCGAACGCACAGCGTTGAATAGAGCTCTGAGATTGGTTCGTGTGTCACCCTGTGCATCCACGCGCACTGTGAGACCTCATAGTATTTTTTTTTAATACGGGCGTAAATCCTATAAGTGACAATAAACACAACAGGAGTTTGAAAAGAATCTGACTTAGTAGTGTGCCTTGGGAAGGTCTTTGTCTAGCAGTGGGCTTATATTAAAGAGTCATGACTTATGATCGCGGGAGCATACTGATAATCATTTTTTTTAATAATATCTAAAGAATTCCTCTATCAGTCCTTCAAATCTTCAGGACTTAGTTTCTTCAAGAAATAGAGTGGACCTACTGTATTTTGTCTGTTCGTTTTCTGCAAACAGTACTAGCAGTTTACTCATTAACCGCTAAAGCTGCCCAGCAAACAGAATGGCCTGTAAAATTTTTGGTTAGCATAAGCGAACTGTTGGGAGTCTACGAAAAAATATTGAAACTTTTTCATAGCTTTGTTTTCATTTTGAGTTCATGGACACGCTTTTGAGAGCACTGACCTCAATAGAAAAGTGAAAGATCCCTCTGAAATTTCAGAAGTAATGATCGAATCAGGCAACTATTTATATTAGATTTATTTCTAGAAAAGGAAGAAACTCATTTTGTGATGGTATTAAATTTTAATATTGGTTTTTGAATAAGTTGAATTCCCTTGGGTCATAATGAGTCTGTATAACTACAAGAAATAGAACTGAAAACTGCTAATATAATTACACAGGACAAAAATCTAGCGGTTTTACCCCAGAAGCATGGCTTGACCTATTATTTAGGTCCTACTATTTAGGTACTTGGGACTACGACTGATCAGAGGTCAAAACCGCACTCAATGGCCCACTCCACGAGTGTACAAGAAAGGCTGCAATACGGGAGGATTGGCGACGGATTGTGAAGCTTGCCTGCATAGTTATTAATCACGTGAAATTGCTAAAATCAAGTGGTAGTGGGCGGGGCACATAGCTCGTGGAAACGATGGCCGTTGGGGCAGAAAAGTTCTCGAGTGGCGACCACGGGCTGGAAGACGTAGCGTGGGCAGGCAACCTACTAGGTAGACCGACGATCTGGTAAAGGTCGCGGGAAGAGTCTGAATGCGGGCAGCGCAGGACCGTTCACTGTGGAAAACCTTGGGGGAGTCCTTTGGCTGAAACGAACGAACGAACCACACGAAAAAACAACCAACCTTATTACACTTAGTGGCAGTGCTGGCCAGTTGGTGATGTCTTCTCGCAACCACACAGGATATCCTCGCGTAGACGTACACCATCACGATCATGGGCAGAAAGAACGACCCCATGGCTGAGAAGACCACGTACCCCGGGTTTTGGTTGTAGCGGCAGACCCCTCCTTGGTTGTGGTCTGGCTCGTACCTGGAAGATGAGACTCTGTTAGGGGATATTCTAGTGGGTTAATGGTAGGATTTTCTAATGTCTCGTGATTTTCTGAAATAAGTTAAAACCTGTTTTCAAGATCTAAGACCTAATTGTCATTATCTATTATGTGAAATTGAATTTTATTGAGAATTCAGCACCAGATTCAGTTTGAATGACTTCCAAATTTTGGTAGAGAGAGAGAGATACATTGGGCTTTGGAAATAATAATAATACATAGGATCGTAAGTTTGTACATAAATAGCATCAAGCATTACTGAAGTAAGGGGTAAGTAATCCCTTAATAACTTAAGCATAATACTTTAGAAATTATTGATTCCATTTCAAAGTAATATAAACTAGAAATAAGATTTATTCTTGATCAGAGTATAGATTTACTAACATTGCCATAGTCGACGGGACGAAGCTAGTTTATGAGAAACTTACCATCCAAACATAGGAGGGCACGTGATCGCACCAGCAGCAATCCAGACGAAGAAGATCATGGTCAAAGCCAGCTTCTTCGACCGCCGTCTCCTGGAGTACGTCAGAGGCCTGGTCACAGCCAAGTACCGGTCCACGCTGATCGCACAGAGGGAGAGGATGGACGCTGTGCATAGGAGGATGTCCAGGCTGATCCAGATATCGCAGAAGATCCAGCCGAGCTCCCATTTACCTGGAGAAGGAAATTGCTGATTAAAATTGTGTTGTGTACCAGCAGTTGAAGGTACAACACGGGACTATTCCCACCTCTCGTTCCCACCGCTGCAACTCGTGTGTAGCCAGGATCTACAACTTGACCGTCAATAAAAACCCAACCTGTGGAGGTCAAGTTTGTCCCGGGGGAAGTTAAACTGTCATTGGACCCGCAATGAAATTAATCAGAAGAACATAGGAGGAGTCCGAAGTGAAGATCAGTTCTTCCTTGGTTGAGGATTCCGGTTGAATTTTGATTCCACCTGTGGCCTTATAACTTCCAAAAATAATAATGATGGTAGAGTGGTTTTAGCTAAGTGGAGTAGAGTAGAACTACTCTTCTTGAGGATGTAGTAAAAGGTTACAAAGGACAGATTATGTGAACATCAAGCCTCCCCAACTCCAGTTGTCTCTGAATTTATAGAAGGTATCGCCTCTTAATACATCCACGAGATGTGTGGGGCACTGAGGATGTACTACTTCTGACACGAGCATATATTGCGTAGTTGGAAAAGTTAACGAGAATATTAGTGGGACTACTAGGTCGCAGGAGGTGCCTTCATGCGCTGAACCAGTCTTTGTAGAAATCCTTGGGACAGGCCTATGTCCAGCAGTGGACGTCTTTCGGCTGAAACGCACCACCTACTTGTAATTTATATGTCAAAAATACTTTAATTTTGTATGCGAAATAAAAGGCTGACAGAAGTGACCGATCATTAATATGTAAAACAAAAGTGATCGAGTCTCCAGCGCCATTTCTCATTACAATTCGATTTGTAGTGATAAATAGATTCACCTAGATCGTGTGAGGTCCGCAACATTAATTTTGAATGTGAATTTGAATCGGACAAGCGTGGGCGTACATTTGCGGCGTGGGTGTAATGGTAAACATTTCTGCAGAATTAACACAAACACGTGACAATGTGACGTATTTAAAGCTAAAGGGAGTTTGCATGTGTTTTGAAAGTCAATAATTAAGTTAGAGGCATACAGTGACGTCACAACCTACTTCCGAATACTCGTATACTAATCTGTTTATTTGTTTTCTTGATCGTGCTAACCTCAGGAACTATTGGTCCGATTAGAAAAATATTTTTTGTGTTGGATAGCCCGTTTATCGAGGAAGTTTTTAGTCTATTATGTATAACACAAACCTACAACCAATATGGGCGGAGCAGTAAAGAAAAATGTTGCCAAAACGGGGAAACTACTGAAACAATTTTCATGTGTACGAAGTCGCGGGCACAGCTAGTATTATTTATAAGTAGTTTACGATATTGCACCATGAAAAAAAACGAGTGTAGAAATCAGTGAGGCAGAGACGTCACATTTCTAAAAAATCTTATTCATGACTGCTAAAGAAGTTTTCTTAAACGTTTTTCACATCTTATTTTAACCTATCTTATTCCTAGAAATTTCCAAGAGGCTCATTTTACTTCGCGTAACAAAAAATGATATTATGTTATTGCCTCACTTTAGAAGTTCTGTAACTGAATAGCGACAAAGTGGAACGAAAACAGTAGACTCAGTACCTCTAGTAGGAAAAACTTTCGAGTTCGTTTCGTTGCGTATTCAAAGTGTCATCGAAAAATTTTGTATGAAAAATTAAACAGCGCCCCCTAGGGCGGCTATAATGTAGGGGGCGCTGTTTAATTTTTCATACAAAATTTTTCGATGACACTTTGAATACGCAACGAAACGAACTCGAAAGTTTTTCCTACTAGAGGTACAGTACAGTAGGATCTTAGTAAAGTCTTATTACCTTAATACATAGTAGGTAATAACGTGTTTCAAGGAATGTTATGCAGGGTACTCATCTAGCCGTGTAGCGTGTAATGTATCAGATACTGTATCAAGTGAGTAAGTACATAGGCACGAGCCCGCCGCTGCCAGCTGCTCGCGCGTGGTTCGCAAAAGTAAAAAGAAAAAATTGATACTAGATGGCATTATAAAGGTAAATCAGGCTGTTATGCCTTTAATAATGCTATACAAAAATACATTAAACTGCCTACATCCGAAACTATCCGTAACTTTTGAATCGGTTACGGTTAAGGTTTCGGATATTTTTTTATTTTGGATAGGTATCCGAAACTTTCGGTTACGGTTACGGATATCCATTACATCCCTGGTGTGCAGTTAACTCGACCGGGTTGTATTTTATTTACAAGCAAGAATGAACCTGCTGTTTCCTTCTTCTCAAAATGTGCCCCTAGGACCGAAGCATAAGTTTTAAACGTTCTTTTTGTACTATTAACAACTTCTAAACGACTTTTTGGAATACGTATAAAGTTTCAAATTTGGAAATTAACAATAGATGGTGTTGATTTCCAGTGAAATGTTTCGTAAGGCGTTTGGAATTAAAACTGTTAAAAAGTCGGATTTCCATTCTTCAGTAACTTTCAGTTAAGTTTGATATAGAAACAGTTTTTTTTTATATAATAACAGTTTTAGTAGACAGTTTTATAACACTCATTATTATACCATGATTTTATTCCTCCTAACAAAATAAAGTTTTAAAATTGCCCTAAATGTATGTTACTACTATACACACTGAATAATCACATAAACTGATGATGATGATGTGATATATTTTTATAGCATCTTCAGCAAATTATACTCATACTTTTACAGCCCATATTAACACACAAAGGTTTATTCAAACTTTTCCTTCGCATTTTAACACGAATGGAAATTAATTTAGACCACAACAAAACGAATTCCAAAAACCTTCAATATTGCAAAGAAAGTGTTTCATGAAAATAATTACTTTCTCTGATGAGAGCCTGTGTCTGATGACAAGCGAGCTTGATTGAAATGCGATAGTGGCATGTCGTAGCAAAAACAGAATAGTACCTACATTCACACATATTCGCAATGATGTGCGAATCGGTTATATCCGATCTCAATCGGGCATAATAGGGAAAACTTATTGCTATTTTCTATTTTATTATCTTTTTTTTTGCTTGCTTATTTTTTTACGTGGAAAAAATGCATGAAACTGCATACCCGCTGCTGTGGTCATCGTGACAGGTTATGTGGGGCTCTCCCCGACGGAAGGGTGAAAAAAACCACGAAATGTCCATTTCTCTGAGCATAGAGGAAGTACCAGTGTAGAAGTGTGTGACTCGATTTCCTCCTATGCCGTGTTTGTACACGGATGCACACTTTTGACCAACGAAACCTATACTAACCTAAATTGCAAGTGTCAAAGCTTTTTTAAATTATTTTTTGTCCAAGACTTTTTAGTCATGTAACAACAAAACACGAAAAAATTGTAACCGCTTCAAAGTGGTAAAACTTATCTGTTTTTACTATGTCAGTAATTAATGATTTTGCTTTTTTTCGATGGAAATTCTCGCGAGTTCGTAACTTTCGATTTGGGGGTCTCATTAACTGAGATTTGCGACTGATTGACTTTTTTGTGGAAATAATAAGGTACTACATAGTTAGGCATTGGGTTCCATTCAGTCTTTTTATAGTGGGACAATAGAATCGGCCTCGAAATTACATAATGAAGCACTGACATCAATTTTAAAAGGGGATTGTAATGTTTTGCGTTGTACTTTTTTATGTACATTGTACATAATTATTCATTTTAAAAGTAAAATCAGATTTGCTAAATCTTTTAACTCAAACTCTATGAAAAAACGCCGGTTATGCTTGTAGTTAAAGTGTTACGGTCAAAGTTAAGGTGATATGGAGTTGATAGATGGTGCAACTTAGACTTATGTACCTAGTGATGTTTTTACATAAACTGTTATTTTTGTATGTGTTCATAATATAAACAGCGGCCGCCCGCGACTTCGTACGCGTGGATCCCGTTTTACCCCCTTAGGGGTGGAGTTTCGTAAAATCCTTTCTTAGTGGATGCCTACGTCATAACATCTACCTGCATGCCAAATTTCAGCGCGATCCGTCCAGTGGTTTGGGCTGTGAGTTGATAGATCACTATGTCAGTCAGTCAGGCTGAAACGAACGAACGAACGAACGAACTCTGATTTCAGGAACGTTATAGCTTGTCAAAAGTTGAGACTATACTGTAAAAAGACCAAGCTAAATACATTCTTATGTGGTCGAAACAGGTGTTATTTTTCAAGTTTTCAACAACACCAAATAGTCTGTCAGCCTGTGCCTTAATAATTCTATTGCTCTTCACGACTACATCACGCCACGCCACGGAATCTTTGTTTAACATAATTACAGTAGAATGCCTTGGCGTCGTTCGCACAGTCATTTTGGTTAATGGCAGCCCTAAACATGCTGAGCTATACAGGGTGTGTCAGGGTAGGCCTATGTAAGCAAGTGGGAATATTATTAAGAAAATGTTACATATAGAACCAGGCTTTTGATTCGTAGTTAAAACAACTAGTATATTAAGAATAACCTGAAAAAATCCAACTGCCTAAGGTGGGAATCGATACTCTTAATGCCAGAAAAAAAATTGTAACAATAACCAATATTGTCAAAACTAGTTACCAATGGATAAATGCGTAAATAACTAAAAGCATTAGCCACTATTATCATTATTAGGTGAACCGACGACCTCATAAAGGCAGGAAGGCGATGGATACAGGCCGCTACTAACCGGGCGATGTGGAAATCATCAGGGGAGGCCTATGTTACCCACGAGTTTTGGTCGAAAGATAACTTGGGGACGTAACGGAACTAGCAATAACGACATAGTAAGTTGTCTGGTGGCACTGAAAATCGACAATATTATTAAATCAATACTTATACTTAGCCTAGGCGCAGGCCACCGGCTTTTAGTCGGCCGATAGTTGGGCCCGATTCTAAATTGTATGAAGAATCGGCCGATACGAAATCGGTGCAATGTGCGCACTTTCATACATCTCCATCCTGATCAACAGCCCGACCCAACTATCGACCAACTCAAAATCGGTGGTCTACACCTAGGCTTAGACTCTAGCTTTATAGGTATACACTATACACCCTGTATATAAAGTCTACCTGAAAAATGCCTGTCTAGGCTGAATGTAGACAGGTTACAAGTAGCAAGAATGTAATTACATAGACGGCAATGTACACATTAACACGCCGCCAAGTTCAGTGTACCCCAAAAACTAGATGCTTTTACTTTAATTTCACTGTCTTATGTGGTTATTTTACTACATTACATTATCATAATCTCATTTTATAGTTTGTTTTATGCTACAACGTGTTTTCAGTAAGTAAATATCGCTTTTTGAACTCATTAAAGATCGTTTCATCCACGAAGACGCTATAAGATAAATATTTTCAGAGATATGATCTTTATTACTAACTTAAATAACTAGCTCGTAGCGTGGGCAGGCCTCCCACTAGGTGGACCGACGATCTGGTGAAGGTCGCGGGAAGTACCTGGATGTAGGCAGTGCAGGACCGGTCGTTATGAAAATCATTAGGGGAGACCTTTCTTGTGCCTTTGTCCAGCGGTGGATGTCATTTAGCTGAAACGAACGAACGGGAAAACTTATTCAACTTTTCACGCGTACGAAGTCGCGGGCACAGCTAGTGGCTTATAAAGGTCGATTCAATTATTCAATGGCTATTCAGTGTCGATCATCAATCATTTTAAAGTGACCCTCTAAAAGACCTCTGAAAAAAGTTAATATTGCCTCTGGATTTATATTGAAAAGTGTAGGTTATTGAAATAGCTGAGATATTTAACACATGGGTTATTAAAGATTTTAGTGGTTCATAGTTGTAATGATGTCAAGTTGTATTGTCTCATTTGACACTGGATACCTTTGAATCTAAATCTATAAAAGCGAAAGGTCACTGAATCACTCACTCACTCATCACGATATCTCAGAAACTGCAAGTGCTAGGAGTCTCAAATTATGCATGGGATTTCCTTTTAGAATGTAACTAAGATGAGATTTTGCAAAATTCAACCCCTAAGGGGGTAAAACGGGATCCACGCGTACGAAGTCGCGGGCGGCCGCTAGTAGTTGGTATTTATGATGTCAAGTTGTATTGTGTCATTTGACACTAGATGCCCTTTGATATGAATATGTGAAATTTATACGATACTAGCGACCCGCCCCAGCTTCGCATGGGTTCAAAAACCGCAATAAAATCCGTTGCGTGGTTTCAAATTTCTAAGCATACATAGGGATAGACAGCGGAACTCGACTTTGTTATGTGCTTATTGATGTATTGATGATCTAGACACTTTCAATTGATTTCAACTCTTATACCAAGGATATTGAGCTCAAAATCCATTAGGGAATTTGATGTAGGTTAACCTGCTGGGTATTTAGGGCTTAAAGATACCCGAATTTACGATCCCACTCCTCTCCGACGGCCTCTTAAATCTTTTGTTATTGACCATAAAGCACTGGTACAGCCAAAATGGCTTTTTTCACTTTCATTTAGTGTAGTTTCTTGTGACATAAACATATAAATTTATGGTGAAGGAAGGTGTTTTCTGGCACTTGTGACGAAAATAAAAAGGTTATTATACTGTTAAATGTTACTTTTTGTAACATTCTGTAACAAAATAGGCTGTTAAACAGGTGTTTTTATTATATTTCTTTTTAGCAAATGGACGATAAAAGTGTCCATTAGCTGAAAACCTATAGTTTGATTTGTGTACCTACTGCCCACATTGAAGTTAAACTTATAGCCCATAGTTAGTGGAAAAAGGTATATTGAAGAACAACTCTTGTATTTTCTGTTTTGTTGTTTAAATTGGTCCAGTAAATTAATTTTACCAGGAAACCTAACCCAGAACATTCGGGTCGGATTAAGAATATTTAATACCCTAGGCCTTAGGGGTTGGTAAAGCAATACCTACCTGAATTTTAAACATAACATCATAATTATAATGTTTAAATATTCAGTAACTTAGCTAATGTAATTATAAATTACTAGCTTTCCGCCCGCGGCTTCGCCCGCGTGGAATTTTGTCTCTCACAGAAAAACTTTATCGCGCGCGTCCCTGTCTCAAAAACCGGGATAAAAACTATCCTATGTCCTTTCCCGGGACTCAAACTATCTCTATGCCTCATCAAAATCGGTTCAGTGGTTTAGTAGGCGTAAAAGCAAGACAGATAAACAGACAGATAGACAGACAAATAGACAGACAGTCAAGCAGAGTTTCGCATTTATAATATTAGTATAGATAGTACATATTATTCATTCATTCGTTTCAGCCAAATGACGTCTACTGCTGGACAAAGGCCTCCCCCAAGGATTTCTATAACGACCGGTCCTGCGCTACCCGCATCCAGGTGCTTCCCGCAACCTTCACCAAACCATAGGTAATATCATAATAATCATAGTACCTAAATAAAAAGATATTATAAAAGTGTTACTACCATCGACCATTCAATTACATTTTCTTTACAAGCCTTTCGCTCGTAGTATGAAAGCCTTTACAAAACAACTGCCGCTAGCAACGTTACGTTCATGAAAAAATAATGAATACGCCGCGCAGTGCTCAGTATAATAAAAGAGTAGCTCAACTTCATTCAACATAGAGCCTGGTCCGTGAGCGCGTAGAATTTTGCAACATAATTACGCGCGAGCGATAAGGATGGGTAGCTTGGGGTCATTGGACAAAATTCTACGTGCTCACGGACCAGGCTTTACAAAGGCACGGATTTTTCGACACTAACTGAAGGTGTCTGAGTTTCTCTCGCCTTCTCAGCAACATACCTGTTGGCCCGAAGTGGAGGTATGCGTATAGGTGTCCTAAAAGGCGCGGATTGTCTTCTAGGAGAGACTGAGTTTTATTACAAGACTATCATATTCACTCACTCTGTTCTTGGCATTTGATCTTTTTGGAAAATTATGAATGTGTTGAATTATAATGTTCCAATTAGAAAATATTATCTTAAATCCAGTACTCATTGCGAAATGATAAATGTTTATTATTTATTTAATAAATGACATACTGCTTCACCTGTACTGTAGTCTTCAATTTTGTTAAGAGATTATTACAAGTAAAAAAAAATACTTTGATGTTTTTTAGTGAACAGGTGTTTTGATGAGGATTCAGCCTCATCAAATCGAAATCGATTTTGTATGTTGCGTCCAAAATGTTCTACCGTCATTTTACAAAAACTGGTGAGGCCATTTTCAACTGCACGACCACGATCCTCTCTAATTTACCAGATATTTGGCCTACACTCCCGAAGCTGGTGCGACAAAAATTTGGGATCGGGCAGAAACAAAAAATCACCATACTCTTAAATATTTGTATTGAGAATAGATCGAACCCGTAACCCCTAGCAAAGCAGTCGGATACGCAAACCACCAGTCAGCAATTTATAAGTCAATGCAAATGCAAATTTAGATGTAAAAATGTAATTTGTTATTGCTCACTCAACACAACTACTGCGACAAAGGGCTGCGAGCCTAGTGCAGAAGACCTGTTAGAGGCCTTTGTCCAGCCGTGGACATCCTTTGAAACGGAATAATCTAAAATACAGAAAACACAAGATAAAAACCAACTCACCAGTAATATGCACAGCAATAGCCGGCGGCATCACAAAAATGCCGACCAGCAAATCAGCCACCGCCAAACTCGTCACAAAGCAATTCGTCACGGTCCTCAGCCTCTTAGTCGTCACAACGGCCGATATTATTAAAGTGTTACCAATAACTGTCACCACTATCAACAGAAAAAGCACTATCACAACACTAATTTCTATGCTGTCATACTTAGTTGTAGTTTCGCACACTGACACGTTGTCACTGGTGAAGTTCTCACACTGTTCTCCGGGCACGTCTGATACGATCACGTGGTATATGTCTGTGATGTTGATACTGTTTTCGGTGATGACCAGATCGGTTTCGATGGAGTTGTTCCATTTTATGACGTCGAGCTCGATGTCTGGTAGAGATATCATGTGATCACGTTAGTGTGGACGGACTTTGTGGCATTTTCTGGAACAAAAGCAAGAATTAGTATTTTTGGTCAAGAAATTGAAAAATGTCTGGAAAATGTATGTATTAGGGTTTTTTTTTTGGTATAAAGAAAATATGGAAAAAAAAAACAAAAAATAATGTAATAAAACAGTTAACTCTCTTTTATGTACTAGTAACTGTGGACTTTTTGACGACATGATAGTAGGTAACCTACTTGATTTATCAAAAAAGATGTTTTAGTGAAAATGATAGATATCCTAACAACTATGGTAATTCGTGATTTATTATTATGCATTTAGCACCCTTTCACTATGGAAAAGCTCAAATTATTTGGTAAATTGCGTAAGTCATAAGTATACAACAGCTTTTGGATGCTCAGAGCCCTGAACTTTTTTGCTACTTTGGGTTACACGAACTATTTGACGCTGACTGTACGTGCAGTTTCAGTGTGCGGTTTACGAGTGCTCGTAAAAACCATTAGAACAAAACTGCATAGGCATTGCATAACACCTGGCTGCAGTCCAAAAGTGCAAGGTAGCATCTGCCATAAGAATAATGAAAACACGAGTGGAATAAAATTATTTAAGCCAATAATCTTTGAACAGAAAAAAAGAACAAATTGTTGATTAATTTTAAGTTCGAGCTATTTTGAATTAAAGGCTTGTAGGTGATATTAAGAAGCAAGTAACCTTGTCTGACCTATATTTTTAATTATCTTTTGAGCACGGTGTAACTACTAGAATCTAAGATGAAGTAATAATTTAAGACCCAGGAAAGAAAGAGGGAAAAACAAACCTTTCTGTGAAAAACTGAAAATCATATTATTTATATCTAGTGATTTTTTAATTTAAATCTTTGACTTTTGAATAAATAAAGTTTAGTTTTTCCAAAACCACACTGTAATCTATTTTTAACTGTGCCCATTTTTTGTGTCAATGACTCAACAATAACGATAATTAACCTCTCAGATACTACTGTCTCTCCTAAAGACCACCTTTTTGATTAAAGTGCTCGGATTAATTCATGAATACTAATCTTCAGCACAGCTAAAATAAAACAGCCATCCCATTCCAATTAGCACTTAAAAAGATTGCCCAGTGTCTAAAATTAAATGTACAACTAGGTACTGATTGAAAATACTGAACACTGCTGAGAATAGAGTTCAATTTGATTCCTAGTGATAAGAAATTGATTCGAGACTTTTTTGAGGAATAAAAAATTTCTTAAATTTTTTAAAGAGTAGATAATAGTCATTTGAGATTGCACAAATTACTAATTATCCCCTTTGAAATCTTCAGTTAAGTTAAATAATGCTTTATGGAGTCGGCAATTTTTTATACTGCATTTACATAATCGCGCGAATCGCGATGCGAGTGGCGAGATAGGTAGTGAGTGTCACCTTTTTTAAATGGGCTGTCTTATCTCCTTGTCCTGTACGTCTAAGGGACATAAATAAGAATTTTGTTTAATCTCCCGACGCAAAGTTAAATTCATTATTCAATTTTAAGGCCTTTTAGTTTGCTGAATAGGTTTTATTGCTTGTTCACTTTATTTATGACGGTTATTTTGTTTATTGTTGAATAATTTTATTACAACTGATTTAATAATAAAAGTGATTGAAGTGAAGTTTAATAAAGAATTAGTTGCTTAATTCTTAAGTAAATTAAGAATTTACTAAATTATCATCGTCATCATCATCATCATCATCTATGCTAAGTTTATCGAGATTGTTATTTTTTTTTTCTTTCTTTTGGCACTGATTTTAACTTTTCCAATGCAATCATTACTATCTATGACTGGGTTGCACCATCATGCTTTAACTTTGACAAACGTCAAACGCCATACAAAAAACACCGGTTATCGTCAAAATTACGGTCAAAGTTAGGTGGTGTAACTCACCCTAAGTTGGTATTTAATTGTTACCTAAACTCTGACCTACGAACAATTAAATAAAATTTTATGAAAAGAGTTACAATATGAAAATGACTATATTATTAAATACTCGTAAAATGGTAAAATGCTTTCATTTGACCGCATGAAAAGCCGTGATTTCTTATTTTAACCGGCTTCGGTGTTTCTTTTGAGATACAAAATAAAGATGGAGACACACTGCAAGTTCAAGAATTAGGGAAGATTGGATGCAAGCAATTAATGCTCTATTAACACTTGAGGACTCGCGCCTTAATTTGTAACATTCATACTCGCTACCGGGTGCGCTGGACCCAGTATATAAAATCCTATGTATTTTTCAAAAACTCTTAATAAAATTTAATACTACTTTATTAGAAGGATAATATGATATAAACAAAGACAAAATAATAAACCAAGTAGTCATATCTATTGCCTTTTTCTAAAATAACAACTAATTAAAAAAATTGAAGGTTTTTTGGCAAAATGAAGGTTATTTTTGAAAATTTCTGTAATTAATTATTTAAAAAAATACCTTGTTTATTTTCGTAAACTACTATGATTTGTCTACTTATACCAATTGACAATTAATGAGAAATTACTACAAAACATTAAAAAATTCACTTTGTTTACCGGGTCCAGTGGACTCAAAAACACATTTTTCGTCTGTAGCAATCACATGCAGTGGGCTATTTGACGATTATGACCGCTATTGGCTGTGCTACAATGTCGTGGAAAGGTACTAAGAGCGACAACATCGCAAACGTCAAACTTTAAAAGTTATTACACAAAAATTGAAGTACTGGGTCCGTTAGACCCACCCATTAGCGAGTCCTTAAGTGTTAAGGAAGGTCTGGACTTATTTAAGGCTGAGTTGCACCACCTTACTTTGACCGTAACTATAACGTTAACCGATGTTTTGTATGGAGTTTGAAAGACTTTTGAGTCTTTTTTTGTCAAAGTTAAAGTAAGTTGACGTAAGATTTTGCTTTTGACGTCTTAACCAAATTGAAAGGAATAAACTACCAAATTGTTTTGAGTGTTCCAAAGTTCCAAGTCTAGATCAAAACTTTAAAAATAACTTCAAATTCCTTTTATCTACACTAATATTATAAAGAGGAAAACTTTGTTTGTTTGGTTGTAATGAATAGGCTCAAAAACTGCTGGACCGTTTTTTTAAATTCATTCACCATTCGAAAGCTACATTATCCACGAGTAACATAGGCTACATTTTATTTTGGAAAAAAATAGGTTTCCGTAAAATATGTACATAATGTAGTCCACGCGCACGAAGCCGCGGGCGGAAAACTAGTTTGTTAATAAAGTAGAAAAAAGTAGGTATAAAAAAAGATAAATGCCTAAAGCTAATTATTTCGTAAACTCTTACATCTTAAAAATAAGTTTCTAAAAGTGTCAGTTTCTTGCGTTGCGTTTTCGGCACTGATTTTAAAGCAGTAGTCTGAAGAGTCATCATCATCATCATCATTTCAGCCACAGGACGTCCACTGCTGAACATAGGCCTCCCCCAGTGACTTCCACATCGCACGGTTAGTAGCGACCTGCCTGCATACAGTGCCTTCCTGCTACCTTTATCAGATCGTCGATCAGGTCTGAAGAATATAGCTGTACCTTTATAGGTACTAGAATAATTTTCTATTTTTATTTTTGACTAGCGGCCGCCCGCGACTTCGTACACGTGGATCCCGTTTTACCCCCTTCATCTATCTTACGCGGTTTAGATTTTTTCATACAAATGTTTTTCCCTTCCAAATTTCAAGTGCCTACGTTTAGCCGTTTAGGCTGTGCGTTGATATACCTATCAGTCAGTCAGTCAGTCAGTTTCTCCTTTTATACAGTGTGAGTCACGTTAAAGTGTACATATGAAAATAGATAAAACTGGACCTGTTTTTATCGACAAAAAAGAGGTCAAAAAATTTTTGAGATTTTTTTTAAATTTTTTATAGAATTTTTTTTCTTCCAATTACTTAATGTAAAGAAAACGTAATAACTTTTAAACTAAGCGGTATATCCTAATAAAATAAAAACAGTAATAATGTTAAAAAGATAATACGATAGAGAATAATACAAAGTAATAAAAACCACCAGTTATAGGGGCATTTTTTGGAGAAATTTATCAAATAAACAAAAAAACACGAATTTTTAAGCAGATTTTTTTCAAAAATTATCATTTTTTAATATTTTTTTGCCTTTTTTGTGTATTTTATGTATTTTTTTAGTATTGCCTGTTATTTAGCATTATTACTGTTTTTATTTTATCAGGATATACCGCTTAGTTTAAAAGTTATTACGTTTTCTTTACAATAAGTAATTGGAAGAAAAAAAATTCTATAAAAAATTAAAAAAAATCTGAAAAAATTTTTGACCTCTTTTTTGTCGATAAAAATAGGTCTAGTTTCATCTATTTTCATATGTACACTTTAACGTGACTCACACTGTATATTTAGATACTGATTCCAAAACAGTCGGTCAGACAACCTTCTGTATCAGTGTGAACCCAGCTTTACCGTTAACGACCACGGCTACACTTTTTGTGTAAATGAGTAACTGCCTTTGTGCTTTGTACTAATGTTCCATTGTCGTTAAGTTTTCTTTCTTGTGAATTGCTTTCTTGAAAGAACTAACTTGCAACGGCAAAATACCAGTCTGACATTTGACAAATGGTAGTGAAACAGGTGTTCCAGAATTTGTGAGGTTGTATAGGTCTAGTGTCTGAGGTATGGGAACGGCACGGGAGGGTTAATTTTCGAAATCCCGTCTTATCAAATCAAATCAAATCAAATCAAAAAATATTTATTCAGTTTAGACCACAAGTGGCACTTATGAACGTCAATAGAAAATAATAAAAAAAGAAAAAGGTAGCCCTTATGGGGCACTTTACATGTCTCCTTATCTTTTGGGCACTCTTAGTGAGCACCTACGTCCGAAAAGGAAACCCCCATGCAAAATTTGAGACTAATGCCCGTTTTCACCATCAATCCCTAATTTTTAAGTGACCCCTAAGGTAACACATAACAGGAATTTTGTTTCCAAGGGGTCACTTAATTGATGGTGAAAACGGG